CTATTAGAAGTGGAGGGAAAACACAGGGGGTAAGGATTGACAAACTACTGGGTACTATGCTCAGTACCTGGGTGACAGGAGCATTCATACCCCGAACTTCAGCATCATGCAACACACCCAGGTAACAAACCTGCACATGTACTTCCTGAACCTAGAATAAAAGTTGATTTTTTTGGCACAGTGGCTTATGCCTATAATCCCGGCACTTTGGAAGGGCAAGGAGGGTGGATCACCTGAAGTGAGGAGTACAAGACCAGCCTGGATGACATGGAGAAACCCCATATCTACTAAAAATACAAAAATTAGCTGGGTGTGGTGATGCATGCCTATAATACCAGCTACTCAAGAGGCTGAGGCAGGAGAATTGCTTAAACCCAGGAGGCAGAGGTTACAGTGAGCCGAGATTACACCATTGCACTCCACCCTGGGCAGCAAGAGTGAAACTCCATCTCAAAAAAAAATAAAAAATAAAAACAGGTTTGTTTTTTAAAAAGTGAGAGTAGGGCCATTAGATGTGATTGGGTCATGAGGGCTCCTCCCTCATAAGTGGGATAAAAGCCCTTATAAAGGAGGCTTCAGGCAGCATGCAGCTCTCTTACTCTCCCACTTCCACCGTGTGAGGACACAGCATTCTTCCCCTCAGGAGGATGCGGCAACAAGACTCCATCTTGGAGGCAGAGAGCAGCCTTCATCAGACAACAAACTTGTCGGCACTTCAATCTCAAATTTCCCAGCCCCTGCAACTGTGAGAAAATAAATTTCTGTTCTTCACAAATGCCCCAATGTGTGGTATTTTGTTACAGCAGTACAAACAGCCTGAAACAAGCCCTGAGTTCATTTGCCCTCCAAATGCAGGAAAAGAAAAGATGAGTGAGATGGAGTCAACCAAGAGTTCCTCCCTTTTAACACCCATAAGCTTTTTCCCTGCAGGGAAGGCCCTGGTTAAAGGCAGGCTCGCATGAGGGAACACAGCAGAAATTTCTCCTCTCCTACTGTTATTTTTTGGTGTTTTTTGTTCTTTTTGAGACAGAGTCTTGCTCCATCACCCAGGCTGTACTGCAGTGGTACAATCATGGCTAACTGCATCCTCAACCTCCCTGGCTCAAGCAATCCTCCTCCAACCTCATCCTTCCAAGTTGCTGGCACTACAGGCGTGCACCATTATGCCCAGCTAATTTATTTTTATTTTTTGTAGAGATGGGGTCTCACTATATTGCCCAGGCTGCCCTCAAACTCCTGGCTCAAGCAATCCTCTTTCCTTGGCCTCCCAAAATACTGGGATTACAGGCATGAGCCACCATTTCTGGCCTCCTACTATTGTTTATTTCATTTATCTCCTCTTGATTTATCTTTCATTAAACCAGTTTTCATATCTTCTTCTTTTGTTTTATTTTATTGACTAGACAGCTCTACATATTCATTCTACCAGCAGATTATTTTTTATGTGTGTGTGTGCGTATATACATATATATATATATTTGAGATGGAGTCTCGCTCTGTCACCCAGACTGGAGTGCAGTGGCGTGATCTCGGCTCACTGCAACCTCTGCCTCCCAGGTTCAAGCAATTCGGTTACATCAGCCTCCTGAGTAGCTGGGATTACAGGCATGCACTACCATGCCCAGCTAATTTTTGTATTTTTAGTAGAGACGGGGTTTCACTATGTTGGTCAGGCTGGTCTTGAACTCCTGACCTCCTGATCTGCCCACCTTGGCCTCCCAAAGTGCTGGGATTACAGACATGAGCCACCACGCCCAGGCTGTTATTATATTTTAACAAAGGAATGTGAGCCTATATTTTCCTATCAAAATCCAATATTCTGACTGGGACCTTTTGCAAGCTTTTACCTTTTCCTCCCTCCCTCCCTCCTACCTCATGGTTTTAGTGAATGATCTGCCTAATTTTTCAGATGCTCAAAAAATTATTTTCTTATACCTCTTCTTTTTCAAGATTTTGTTGATCGAATTACACTTCACTTATGAAAATTTATTTAGATTCTAAGTTTCACTGAATTTTTACTACTTACTACTCTTTCTTATATATTGTGGAGTTTTTCTTTTTTGTCATTTTTACTCTGTTTTTATTTAACTAGAGTATTTTCACAAGGAATTATCCAAAAAGTGCACATGTTGCTATACATTTACATTCTGAATCCCTGAATATCTAGGATGGTGAGATAGACTCCTTTGCTTTGTTAACTTGCCACTATGGTTAAGTCTCAGAGCCTTCACAGTTCTTGACATTAGAAATGGGCTTTTGAAAAATAAGGCCATGATAAATTGGTGCACTTTTTCAATCCGCAGACACAGCCCTTTTTTCAGCTCTGTGGAAGTATTTTCTACTATTTCACCAACTGTTTGTTCTTCATTGCATTTTTTTCTTGCATTTACAACTCCCGTTATTTTTAGATTGGACTTCCAAATCTGTTCTCCAAGATACTTATCCTTTCTCATGACCTCTCTCTTATATGCACATTCTGTCAATATCATTCAGTGTTTGGAATTGTCTATTATATTATTCACTATTGTTATTTAAATTTATATTTTGACAATTATGGTTTAAGCTTTTTTTCAAAGAATTATTTCAGAGTATTTCTTTTGCATGAAAGACATTTTTAAAAGTGATCTCTCCAATCTCATTGTGAATATGAATTAGAATATTTCTTCCGAACTCTCTCCTGGTTTCTGTTTCAGAAAGGTTCATTTGTTCTGAGTGGTCAACTTGGTGCCCTCCTTTTCACTAGACGGTTCTACCCATGTAGCTAGTGGTTTGTTATTATTGTCTGCTTATTTAGTATTATTAGCTGGAACAAGTTTCTTAAGTTCTTGCAGAGCTCTGGCTCTGGGATTTCCCCAAAGGAAATAGTCTGAGAGTTGATAAACAAGAGGGCTTGAGCCTTTTCTCGGCAGGGCTGGAGGTGAGGGCACACAGCGGGTGAACAGAGCTCCTCTTCCGGTTGTGCTGATTCCTCTCCATCGAGGCAGGCAGCAGTGGGTCAGAGTGACAAGTCTCACTGAATCTGCTCCTCTGACTGCCTGAGGAGATTTGGGGCAGCGAGAGGACCCCCTCAAACAAGGCTTCTGACCATGGAGTCCACGGTCTTCCCCAGGAAAGGTGAGGAAGAGCGCGTGGTCTTTCCTGTAATGTGACTTCTCCTCCACTCCCTCTGCATTCATTTTCTCTTGCTGTGTAACAAAGTACCACAAACTTAATGGCTTAAATCAGCACACATTTGTTATCTCATGGTTCCCATGGGCCAGGAGTCCAGGTGCAGCTGGGTCCCCTGCAAGGCTACAATCAGTGTTGGCCATAGCTGCAGTTCTCATATGGAGCTCCAGGTCCTCTTCCAAGCTCATCTGGGTGTTTGGCAGAATTCAGTTCCCTGCGGCTGTATGACCAAGATCCCTGTGTTCTTGCTAGGGACTACCCTCAGTTCTTAAAGGCCACTTGCAGTGTCTTGCCACATGGCCTTCAAAGGCAGTTCATTTGCTCATTTCCAGATCAGCGGAAGCAAACTGCTGACTTCTAACTTTCTTCCAATCTGCTCCATGGGAGTCTCATAAAATGTGATGCCATCAGGGGAGTGATTATGCCACCACCATGTGCCATATGATGCAGTCTAATTAATGGAGCAACTATCCCGTCATAGTCAAAGATTCCCTCCACACTCCCACATTCCCCCCATAAATAAGCCATGTACATCTGGGGTTGGGAGTTGGGACCCGCTTAGAATTTTGCCTTCCACGCTTATACACTGTTGATGAGAGTGTAAATTAGTTCCACTATTGTGGAAGACAGGGTGGTGATTCCTCAAAGACCTAAAAACAGAAATACCATTCAACCCAGCAATCCCATTACTGGGTGTATACCCAAAGGAATATAAACCATCCCATCATAAAGACACGTGCATGCGTATGTTCACCACAGGCCTGTTCACAATAGCAAAGACATGGAATCAACCCAAATGTGCATCAATAGTAGACTGGATAAAGAAAATGTGGTATGTATACATCATGGAATACTATGCAGCCATAAAAAAGAATAAGACAATATCCTTTGCAGGAACAGGAACGTGGATGGAGCTGCAGGCCATCATCCTTAGCAAACTAATGCAGGACCAGAAAACCAAATACTGCATATTGTCACTTACAAGTAGGAACTAAATGAGAACACATGAACACAGAGAGGGTGACAATACACACAGGAGCCTGTCAGAGGGTGGAGAATGGGAGGAGGTAGAGGATCAAGAAAATTCATTAATGGATACTACCTGGGTGATGAAAATATCTGTAAAACAAACTCCTATGACACAAGGTTTATCTATATAACAAATTTGCTCATGTGCCCCTGAACTTAAAAATTAAAAAAAAAGAAGAAGAATTTTGCCTTCCACAATCTCAGAAGTATAAGAATACCTTTTAGTTTCCAATGTCAGATAGAATTTTTCCTTCTATGTTTGTTGAGTTGCTTTAATAAAGAACTGGTGGGGGAGGGGGATGGTGGGAAGGCAGAATATCAAAGGTGCATGTTTAAGATACCACATTTAGGCTGGGCTCAGTGGCTCATTCCTATAATCCCAGCAGTTTGGGAGGCCAAAGTGGATGGATCATGAGATCAGGAGTTCGAGACCAGCCTGGCCAACATGGTGAAACTCGTCTCTACTAAAAATACAAAAATTAGCTGGGCATGGTGGCGCATGCCTGTAATCCCAGCTACTCAGAAGGCTGAGGCAGGAGAATCGCTTGAACCCAGGAGGCAGAGGTTGTAGTGAGCCAGGATCGCGCCACTGCACCCCAGTCTGGGCGATAAAGCAAGATTCAAAGCAAGTGTCTCAAAAAAAAAAAAAAGATACCACATTTATTACTCAAATAATTAAACTTTCACCTTAACGAATTGATCAGCATTTATTAAATGTAAGATAGTACCTTAATGGTTGTTTTTACCATTGCAAAATGTTCTTCAAACAAATCAACTAAGCTGATATATAAATAAGACATATATTTGAGGCAGTGTACTCATTTTAATTAATAGACTTTTTTTTTAGAACAGTTACAGGTTTACAGAAAAATTCATCACGGAGTAAAGAGTGTTCCCATATACCCACTACACACACATACATATCCATAATTTTCCCTATTACTAGCATCTTGAATTAATGTGATGCATTTGTTATAATTAATGACATTATTATTATTAAAGTCCATAGTTTACATTAGGATTCACTCCTTGTGTTATGCATTCTATAGGTTTTGCCAAATACATAATTATATATATCCATCATTACAGTGTCCTACAGAATAGTTTCAGAACTATATATTTTAATCAAGAAGGTTTTGTTTTGTTTTGTTTTTTTAAGATGAAGTCTCACTCTGTTACACAGACTGGAGGGCAATGGCGGGCTCTCAGCTCACTGCAACCTGCGCCTCAAGCAATTCTCCTGTCTCAGCCTCCCCAGTAGCTAGGACTACAGGCACACGCCAGCACACTCAGCTACTTTTTGTATTTTTAGTAGAGACAGGGTTTTATGTTGGCCAAGCTGATCTGAAGTTCTTGGCCTCAAGCAATCTGCCCGCCTCAGCCTCCCAAAGTGCTGGGATTAGAAACATGAGCTACTGTGCGTGGCCCCAAGAAGTTTTTTTAGTCAGATGTCTTTCCTGTCATAGGCCATCTGTGTGACCCTTTCAGGCAAATGTGAGTGTCTAGACAGCATGTCATCAGATTTGGGTGTTTCAGAGCCTTCTGTGACTGAGTAGAGTTGATCTGAGATCCCTACTATTCAAAATTGGTTATTAGGGAGGATGTGGTTCAATCTGCTTAAGAAGAATGCAGTCTCTGGGGAAGGAATTTCAAAACAGAGTAATTTTGGTCCAGACTAAAGCCCAGTGGCATAGAAGAAATCCGAGTTTCCAGAAATAAAATTATCCTGAGGTGCGCTGCAAAAGACACTGTAGAGAGAAGACGATAAGCAACAGACTGGGAGAAAAGTAATTGCAAAGACCTACCTGATAAAGGACTGCTACCCAAAATATGTATATGTATACAAGGAACTCTTGGAACTCAACAATAAGAAAACAAACAACCTGATATAGTTTAGCTGTGTCCCCACCCAAATCTCATCTTGAATTGTGGCTGCTATAATTCCCACATGTTGTGGGAGGGAGCCGGTGGGAGATAATTGAATCAGGGAAGCGAGTCTTTCCTGTGCTGCTCTCGAGATAGTGAATAAATCTCACAAGAGCTAATGGTTATATAAAGGGGAGTTTCTGTGCACACACTCTCCTACCTGCTGCCATGTAAGATGCGCCTTTTGCCTGCTGCCATGTAAGATGTGCCTTTGCTCTTCTTTCACCTTCTGCCATGATTGTGAGGTCTCCTCAGCCATGCTGAAATGTGAGTCAATTAAACTTCTTTCCTTTACAGATTACCCAGTCTCAGGTATATTTTTATTAGCATGTGAGAATGGAATAATACACAACCCAGTTAAAAAAATAGGCAAAAGATCCAAATAGACACTTCACCATAGAAGATATATAGAAGATCAATAAACATATTAAAGATGCTTAACATCAAATTTTGTTAGTCAATTGCCAAAAACAACACTGAGATACCACCATACACTTATTAGAATGACAAAAACCCAGAATACAGATAACTCTAAATACTGGTAAGGATGTGAAGCAGCAGGAACTTTCATTCCTTGCTGGTAGGAATGCAAAATGGTACAATCACTTTGGAAGACAGTTTGGAAGTTTCTTACAAAACTAAACATACTCTTACCACACATTCCAGCAATTTCAGTCCTTGGATTTACCCAGATAAGTTTAAAACTTAGGTCCACAAACACCAAAAAAAAGAAATGAGTTATCGAGCTGGGTGCAGTGGCTCATGCCTGTAATCCCAGCACTTTGGGAGGGCAAGATGGGTGAACCACTTGAGGCCAGGAGTTCAAGGCCAGCCTGGCCAATATGGTGAAACCCCATCTCTACTAAAAATACAAAAATTAACTGGGTGTGGTGGTGCACGCCTGTAGTCCCAGCTACTCAGGAGGCTGAGGAAGGAGAATTGGTTGAACACAGGAGGTGGAGATTGCAGTAAGCCAAGATCACGCCACTGCACTCCAGCCTGGGTGACAGAGCGAGATCCTGTTTCAAAAAAAAAGACATGTAAGAAACAAATGCATATGTTAAGTGAAGGCAGCTAGTCAAAAAAGGCTAAATACTGTATAATTGCAATTTCACAACATTCTAGGAAAGGCAGAACTATAAAGAGATAAAAAGATCAGGAGATAGTTGGGAGGGAGAAATGAATATGTAGCACATAGAGAGATTTTGGGAGCAGTAAACTATTCTGTATACCACCAGATGGGAACTCTCTACTGCCTGCTTGATTTTGCTATGAACCTAAAATTGCTCTAAAAAATAAAGTCTATTTCAAAAATTATCTTGAGGAAATGGGTGTCCAAACTGGTAACCAAGACTAAAGCCCAGTCCTCAGAATTTGTGGAAGAGAGCTGGTTTGGACTAATACAAAACTGATGCTATTATAAAAGTTCCTCCAAATGCAGCTGTTCTGATGGGTACAGTGTCTATGTCCTGGGAGCAATTGCTGAGCATGGCTGTATTCACTGAAGAGAGGACTTGAGCTGGGAGCACATGCAGCTAAGCTTGTTCCCTAGAGGGGGATTACAAGGGGACCAGGATGGAGCAGAATTGCTGTGAAGTAAACCAGCACCATCTGTTGCTGGAGGATGACAAATACGCAACAAAACTCAATCTGTCAGTGAGAAACAATAGCAAGGTTAAATTGTTCTGACATGAGTACTGTTCTCTCTCAGGTGTGGTAGTCAGGCAGATGGCACTCTGAGGACATGGGAGCCCAAAGGTGTGCTTAGGTGTCAGGGAGGGCAGTGGAAGGGAGCACTTAGTGGACTCTTAACAAATGCTGAAATTGGGGAGTTTCCACTGATTTGGGAGAAAAATTATATAATGTAATATCAGTTCACACGTGATAATCCTGATCTAAATGCTTAAGTTTCCTCTATTTTTTTCTGAATTCTTTGATATTATTGTATGTTCTTAAACTGCCATATATATTCGGAATTATATATAAATTGCTATACACATTCAGAAAGACTATGCTTTGTGAAGGAGAGGGATTTGGGAAGTGATCCTGGATTCTATGCAAAAAAAAAAAAAAAAAATAGTTAACATTGTATCCAAAAGACTTTTTATAAGGTCATTTCACCCATAGGCTCTATTTATGACTCCAGAGAACAGTTTGAAGTCATAACCTAGTTGACATAAAACATAATTGGTGTGCACCTCTGTTTTCTTTTTAGTGTATTGAGATCTCACCACTTCAGGAATAACCATAACAGACCAAGGCAAAGGGATAGTCCATGGCTGCTTATAGGAAGTCTTCAGTCTTTAGTTCTGCTTGGTTGTTACTGGATTCTCATGCTCATTTGCTCTCTTTTTTCTTCATCTTCTCATCCAGTTAAAAACTAATTAGGCCATAATGTTAGAATGGAAACTCTTAGGGAAAAAAAAAAAGCAAACAAAACAGAAAATAGCAAGTGTTGATGAGGATGTAAAGAAATCAGTACCCCTGCACATTTCTGGTGAAAATGTAAAATAGTGCAGCCACTGTAAAACAAGCAAACAAAGAAACAAACAAACAAAACAATAACAATAACAAAAACAGTATGGCAGGCTGGGCACAGTGGCTCACATCTGTAATCCCAGCATTTTGAGAGGCCAAAATGGGTGGATGGCTTGACCCTAGGAGATCGAGACCAACTTGGGCAACATGGTGAAACCCCGTCTCTACTAAGAAACTACAAAAATTATCTGGGTGTGGTGACACGCGCCTGTAGTCCCAACTACTGGGGAGACTGAGGCAGGAAAATCACTTGTACATGGGAGACAGAGGTTGCAGTAAGCTGAGATGGTGCCACTGCACTCCAACCTGGGCGACAGAACCAAACTCTGTCTCAAGACACAAAAACAAAACAAACAAAAAAACAGTATGGCAGTTCTTCAGAAAGCTAAACAGAATTATCATAGATCCAGCAATGGCACTTCTGGGTGTATTCCCAAAAGAATTGAAAGCAGGGGTTCAAGCAGATATTTCTACATCCATGTTCATGGCAGCATCACTCACAATAGCCAAAAGGTGGAGGCAACCCAAATGTCCACTGATGGATTAATGGATAAGCAAAATGTGGTACATACATGCAATGGCACTTAGTGGGGTATCATTCAGCTTTAGAAAGGAATGAAGGACTGGGCGTGGTGGCTCATGCCTATAATCCCAGCACTTTGGGAGGCCAAGGTGGTTGGGTCCCTTGAGGCCAGGAGTTCGAGACCAAACTGGCAAACATGGTGAAACCCTGTCTCCACTGAAAATAAAAAATTAGTCAGGCATGGTGGTAGGCACCTGCAATCCCAGCTACTCCGGGGGCTGAGGCAGGAGAATCACTTGAACCCAGGAGGCGGAGATTGCAGTGAGCCGAGATTGCGCCACTGCACTCCAGCCTGGGTGACAGAGTGAGACTCCACCTCAAAAAAAAAAAAAAAAAAAAAGGAATTAAAAATCTTACACATGCTACAATGTTGATGAACCTTGAAGACATTATGCCAAGTGAAATCAGCCAGACACAGAAAAGCAAACATTGTATTGTTCCACTCACTTAAGGTACCTAGAGTGGTCACATTCAGAGAGACAAAAGTACAACAGTTCCACTTGGCTGTTACTGGATTCTCACGCTTATTTGCTCTCTTTTTTCTTCATCTTCTCACCAAGTTAAAAACTAATTAGGCCATACACTTAGAATAGCAACTATTAAAAAAAAAATAGAATAACAAGAATAGTCTCCCTCGGGGGAGGAGAAATGGAGAGTTATTGATTAATGAGTACAGGGTGTCAGTTGGGGAGGAAGAAAAAGCTCTGGAGATAGTTGGTGGTGATGGTTGTACAACAATGTAAATGTACTGAATAACACCAAACTGTACGTTTACAAACAGTTAAAATGATACATTTTATGTTATATATATTTTGTCACAATTAAAGAAAATTCATAAAAGGAAAGAATGTTTGGGCTGTGGGAAAGGAAGCTGGCGTCCGGGATCTAGATGCTCCCGTGCTTGCATGATACTTGACCCTGGGTTCTTTACATCCTGCCTTCCAGGTCCTGAAAGTCTTTAGTCATTCATTCATTCATTCATTCATTCATTCATTCATTCAACTAATGTTTATTAAGCGTGTACTATGTGTTTAAGTTAAAACTGAATATGTTGGGAACTACTGATTGTTGGTTAAATGCAGAATAGATTCGACTGAAATCATCAATACATGGAAATTACCAAAGAATTTTTCTATTAAAACAATATAATCGTTTGCTATCCTCATTGCAGATTTTTCACATTCAGATATAGACTTGATTCTTAAAGCAGTGTGTCACAAAATATGAAAGCTGCAAGGAAAATGATCAAACCTACTAAATCACTCAGTAAAATAGTATTTTTTCAAATAAAATTCAGGGATCACTCATATCATATAATACAGTATTAAAGCTGGTACACAGCCTTCTTAAACAGTCTAAATGGTCATGATTGGACCAAAAACATGAATTCACTGTGAAACACGAAACATGGAAGCACATCCAGGAACTCATGTGGTTCACCTGAGCCCCTAGAAGTATAGAAAGCAAGCCAGGTGCCATGGTTCATGCCTGTTATCCTGGCACTTTGGGAGACTGAGCCAGAGGCTTGAGGCCAGGAATTCGAGACCAGGCTGGGCAACATGGCGAAACCCCAACTCTATAAGAAATACAAAAAGAAATTAGCCAGACATGGTCATATACGTGCCTGTAGTCCTAGCTACTCCGGAGGCTGAGGTGGGAAGATCACTTGAGGCCGGGAGGTTGAGGCTGCAGTGAGCAGTGATGGCACCACTATACTCCAGCCTCAGTGGCAGAGCAAGACCTTATCTCAAATTAAACAAAAAAAGAAAGAAAAATAAAAGAAGAAAAAGTCCACATACATATTTATTTCTATCCCTTTATTCTACTGATTTAAGTGATAACACCTGAAACACATACTGTATTTTTTGTTATTATTTAATTGTCCTCTAAGTTGCAACTGAAAACTGAAATAGTTTGTTCTTTTATTCACAATTTTTTTTAATCTGTAAAGCAATTGCAAATTGAAAAGTCTACATGTCAACAAAGGCAGTTCAGTAACTGTGGCATAGTATAAGAATGTGGACTTGGGGTCCAAAAATCTGCAGGTCACTAGATATATGACTTGGGAAAAATAAATCTCCGTGTTGTTTTATATCTGAAAGTAAGAATAATAATGCCAACACACCCTAATTTCCAAGCTTACCATGTACATGTGAGGTAGGCTTATATTTCTGAGGATGTTTTTTAGTCATGCTCTAAGAGATGATAGCATGCTACAAGTCATGCTCTAAGAGAAAATGGAGTTTCTTTTTAAGTTTAAATAAGATAGTTGTGCATTTAATGCTGTATATAACAGTTATTAAAATGCTATGTAAGTCCAGATTTTTTAAACATATAATAATAAATGGTTATTAATCAGAAAAGAAAAAGAAAACTAGTAAGGCACAACCTATAAACGGGTTTTGAATTCCACATTTGTCATTGGGCAAAAATTCCTACAGACTTAACCCCTACTCTATTATTTCACCTATCGATTTCCCCACCACAGTGAGGAAAATAGTTATTTGTCCCCCAAATTTATGATCCCTCCATCTACTCACAGTTCACTTTGCATCTTTCCTTTTCTTAATCAAATTTACTTTTTATTTTATTTATTTATGTATTTATTTATTTATTTTTGAGACAAGGTCTTACCCTGTCGCCCAGGCTGGAGTACAGTGGCACCATCTTGGCTCACTGGAGCCTTGACTTCCCAGGCTCAAGTGGTCCTTCCACCTCAGCCTCCCAAGGTAGCTACAAGTGTGTGCCACCATGCCCAGCTAATTTTTGTATTTTTTGTAGAGATGGGGTCTCGCCACATTGCGCAGGCTGGTCTTGAACTCCTTGGCTCAAGTGATCCAGCGACCTCAGCCTCCCAAAATGCTGGGATTACAGGCGTGAGTCACTGCCCCCGGCCAAATTTACCTTTTAAGTGCAAGGTTTAAAAACATTAAATTTATTTTTCTATTGCTATAGTTTTACTAATTTTAATTTTTTTTAATCTACATGACTTGATAAGATTATTCCTCTCTTGAACCAACAGAAACACAAAGCAGGTAACAATAATTCCTATTGTGGACTGATTCTTTGGACAATCATCCAAACAACTAAAACACAGTATACCCATAGAAAATTGTGAAGTTCTCTTGCTATGGCATGGTTTTAAAACCAACAAAAAAATGATGATTTTAAATTGGGGGGAAAAAAAAACAAAACAGTGATCTAGGGCAAACCAAGACCTGTGAACAAAATCTGGCTGACTTCCTGTTTTTGAAAATAAAGTTTTATTGGAACACTGCCATGTTCATTTGCATAGATATCATCCACAGCTGCTTTTGCAAAACAAAGGCAGTTGAGCAGTTGCAACAGAGATCACATGGTTTGCAAAGTCAAAGATATTTACAATTTGGTCCTTCGTAGAAAAAGATTGCCAACTCTTCATCTAGGGACTAAATAGCAGAAAAAGGAAATAGAAGCCCCTCTTTCTTGCAGTAATGTTAAAATCACAATTTCTAAAATATAAATATTTTGCACCAGGTTGGAAAACAGGCATTCAGCCTAATGCTCATTAAAACCTTACACTTAAAGGTCACTCTGTGGTCAGTATTCTTTGCTGCTGGATGACAGGAAGTGTGAGTAAGGTTTCTTTCTCTGCGAATGAACAACTTGCTGTGTCCAGATTTGTTTTGTAAGGATAAACAATATGATGCAAAAAGCAATGACATATAAATGACAAAATGATGTAAACCTTTTCCACAAATTGTTGGATGGGTTTTTAGACCAACCTGACCTTCATTCCACTTTGAGAAGCTGTTTCTTTGGGACTTCAGGTTTTGGTGCAGAGGTCACAGGAGGTGGGCAGTGGTATGGTGGAGGCATCCACACTCCCCTCTTTCCAGCCTTGGTAAGCTCTCTCCTAAGTTGGAAAACAATGCTTCAACACCTATTGTACAGTCTACACCTTCCTTCACCCCAGGCACAGTCAAGCCTTTTGCTGGTTTGACTCCATTCCTTTCTAGCTACCTAAGCCAATAAATTCACATTTTTGCTTAAGTACTTTGAGTTGGGTTCCTGTCACTTAAAATCACAACAGCTTTTTGTCAGAATCGACTCTTTGGCTCTGATGTTCTGATTTTCACTTCCAGTAAGCTCATCTGTGAGGGATGCTGCACATGACGTTTAATGCTAGATGTGCATTAAAATCACAGGTCCAATATTTATTACTTGTGTACACATTTGAGCTTCACTTCTTACCTCTACAAAATGAAGATAATACTACCTGCTTTCACAATTGTTGCGATGATGAAAGGAGATGACGTATTTGTAAAGCATCAGACATGGAAGAGACAATAAATATTGTGGCTTTTTTTTTTTTTTTTTTTTGAGATATAGCCTTGCTCTTGTCACCCAGGCGGGAGTGCAATGGCACAATCTTGGCTCACTGCAATCTCCGCCTCCCGTGTTCAAGCAATTCTCCTGCCTCAGCCTCCCTAGTAGCTGGGATTACAGGCACCCACCACCACACGTGGCTAATTTTTTGTATTTTAGTAGATATGGGAATTCACCATGTTGGCCAGGCTGGTCTCGAACTCCTGACCTCATGATCTGCCCACCTTGGCCTCCCGAAGTGGTGGAATTACAGGCATGAGCTGCCGCGCCCAGCCTAAATGTTGTAATGGCCTTTCAGTCCTCCCCTACCAAATCACGAACAATGGATCGAGAGGTCCTAAGCCTCACCTTCTCCTACTCATCCTATGCATACTCAGTCTTCTAGAATTAATTTAATCACTCATTTGTGAATCCTCACCTGCCCACCCACCACTTTATTAAGCTCTAGATGTCAATTCTCAATGATTCTATAACCCTCTGAGATTAGCACTCATACCATTTATAGCCCTCAAACCAGTTTTTAAGAACAACTTTCAGGGCTGGGTACGGTGGCTCACGCCTGTAATCCCAGCACTTTGGAGAGCTGAGGAGGACAAATCCTTTGATGCCAGGAGTTCGAGACCAGCCTGGGCAACATGGCAAAACCCTGTCTCTACTTAAAAATATAAAAATTAGCTGGGTGTGGTGGCATGCATGTAATCCCAGCTACTCAGGAGGCTGAGGAATGAGAATTGCTTGAACCAGGGAGGTGGAGGTTGCAGTGAGCCCAGATTGAGCAACCGCACTCCATCCTGGGCAACAGAGCAAGACTCTGTCTCAAAACAAAGAACAACGTTCCACTTTATTCATAATAGCAATATATATTCATTACAGAAAATTTAGAAAATACAGAGAAATACAAAGATGAATATACAACAAAGGCATAAATCAGCTATATTCCCCATCCTACAACCCAGAAATAATTCATTCTCTCTCTCTCCCCGCCCCCCAATTTCTGTCTCTCTCTGATTCTACACATATCCCATTAGTATACTTTTAGTTGCAATTAAGAGAAAACCTGGACTCAACATGCAATTGGTTTAAACTATAAGAAACAATTAGTTCACATAATAAGTTTGGAAATAAGATGAGTTATTTAGCTGGACAACTCATCAAAAGTCAGTCTTCAGTTACTCAACGAGGAACTAGGATCGAGACAATTTTAATATTCCTTAAATGCTATTATTAAGACATAATGAAAATCAGTCAACAATATCTAAATAATTAAAAGAAGTGAATAAATCCAGCAAATCAGCCGTAGTGGAAATTGACTTGCAGTGGGTGCGTGTTTGGTGAATTGGCTCTCGGTCACTGACCTGCAGCCTCCAAGGCTAATAAGTCAACAGATCAGCAGATCAATCAGCTGGGGCCTTTGCATTTTTCCACATTCCCAGGCATGTCAGCTCAGCCTCAGGCCTGGCTGCATGGTGCTTTATCACATGTAGACTCTAACATTTAATGGAAGAATGACTTTGTCTCCTGCTCTTAAAGACAGAGGGAAGCTTTTCCAGAAGGCTCTCCACTCTCATCCCCCTCGCTGGCCTGGAATGAATCATACTCCTGGCCTCAGAAGATCACCAGCCAGGGGAATTCACATTCACCACTCACCGATGATTCACTCCCCAGGGCAGGCCTGGTGACTGCCTCCCCTGAAACACACAGCTGTGCAGAGAAGAATAGAAAGCCCAACAAAATTGAGAGGTGTTAGGAAGGAGAAGGGAAGTGGTATGGGTAGGAAGTCAACAGTTTCTGCCACCGTATCTTTTTGACTTAACACATTTAAATTTCTCCATGTCCATATATAGTTTTTGAAAACATGATTTTATCTGAAAACATAATTGCATGAAAGCATCCTAGTTTATTTAACAAGCTCCCTGCTGTTAGGCATTTAAGGCAATTCAATTTTTCACTATCATCAACCACTTAGAATTTTGTCCTTAAACTGCCAAATGAATGTCCATAAATCCATTGCTTTGAGTCATGCTGTTTCTCTTACTGAATAAGAATTAACATTTATGGTTAAAGATGACTTTATCTTTGCTTACATGCCATCAGTGAATCAATATATGAATTTTCAAGAAATGCTGGATTTGTCCAATACATACGTATGTCCTTTTCCAATCTTTATTATTAGCTTTTATGCTTCCTCACTTTCCCCCATCTGGAAGAGCTCTTGGCAAATTTTAAGAAACCTTTGCTGATCATTTTGCCAGGTCCAATAACGAACCAATCTCTGCCTTCAGGAGCTTATAATTTAGTAGTTTTTCTTGAATTAACTCTCAGTAGGCAGATCACTTGAGGCCAGGAGTTCGAGACCAGTCTGACCACCATGGCAAAACCCTGTCTCTACTAAAAACACAAAATTTACCTGGGCTTGGTGGCGCATGCCCGTAATCCCAGCTACTCAGGAGGCTGAGGCATGAGAATCGCTTGAACCAGGGATATGGAGGTTGCAGTGAGCCCAGACTGAGCAACTGCACTCCAGCCTGGGCGACAGAGCAGAATCGCTTGCATCTCGGAGGTGGAGGTTGCAGTGAGCCAAGATCACACCACTGCACTTCAGTCTGGGTTACTACAGAGCGAGATTCTGTCTCAAAAAAATAAAACAAACAAAAAACCCCACAAAACTCTCACTAGATAAAGATACATAAATGACCAGGACTGTCTGAGTCATACATCTGTTTAATATTTACTGAACATCTATTATGTGCCAGGCCCTGATCCAGAATCCAGGGATGGCCAGGCACAGTGGCTCATGCTTATACCCCCAGAATTTTGGGAGGCCAAGGTGACAGGATCACTTGAACCTGGGAGTTCGAGGCAGCAGTGTGCTGTGATCATGCCACTGCACTCCAGTCTAGGAGACAGAGCAAGACCCTGTCTGAAAAAAATAAAATAGACTAGAATCCAGGGGTGCAATGCTTTTGGGGAACTTAGCAATATTCTTAGGTACTGAGAAAGAAGCCCAAGTGAATCTTTCAAGTTGTTCTTCCTACCTTTTCTTCTCAAGCCCTTTGTCACTTAGAAAGGAAACATCTGGTCTTTCTGCCCTTATCTAAATACTGTTGAGAGAATAATTCGTGTAGATTTTCTCACCTTTGGCCTTGTCACTGTCGTCATAGATAATGTGGCTATTTGAACAAAGGGCTAGACTCAGCCAGAGAATGTCATTTTACAAACTTTATTTCTTGATGCAGCCTGCAGTTCACAAGCAAGGCAGGAAGTGCTGCTCACAATGAACTTAGCTGGCTGTGGCTGCAAATAAAATGGGAGTCTTCAAACATTGCTGACCCAATGGCCAGGTCCTCTCCCCTGGGACCCTGGCCCTACCAGGGCGTGAGAGGCTGCAGAGGACTGGGCTCCGAATTAGGACTTTGTTCACTTTGGAAGTTGAGGGATAGAATATCACCCTTACAAATGGGAATTTAAGTGTAAACAGCTCTGTACTTTCCCAGGTGACTCTGCTTTAAAAACAAGCATATAAACATTTCATTTTTAATGAAATAAAATTATAAGACTCTTTCCACCTTTGTAGGTTTGTCTAAATTAATACAATAAATGAGTTCCTTTCTTGGCTCAAAGGGAATAGCTTGGGAAAAAAATATCATCGTTCATAGAATTTTAGAGTTGGAAGGGCTCTTGGAAATTATCTAGTCTGATGACAGGGAAACCTGGCTGCCCATGGAAATGACATGGACAGCCTTCAAGAACTGACAGAGCTGGGCACGGTGGCGCATCTGTAATCCCAGCTACTCTGTAGGCTGATGTGGGAGGATCCCTGGAGTCCAAGAGTTTGAGACCTGCCTGGGCAACACAGCAAGACCCCTATAAGAAATATTTCAGGACGCAGTGGCAGGCACCTGTAGTTGCAGCTAATCGGGAGGCTGAGGCAGGAAGATCACTAGAGCCTGGGAGGTTGAGGCTGCAGTGAGCTAGGTTCGCCACTGCACTCCAGCCTGACAAGAGAGCTAGACACTGTATCTGAAGACAAAACAAAGCAGAACCCCAGGCCCCACCTGGCCAGCTGTATGGGATTCCCAGGGTACTGGCATGACACATTTACTCAAACATCAACTTCTTTCTTTAGTTTGTTACCCCCCAAAAAAGGTCAGTGAAGCTAGAGGAGAAGCACTGACTGCTGAGAACTGTTTGACTCTTCGGGGGAGATGAGAGTTCAGTAAATAGATAACGGAGGCAGAAACGGCAGGCGCGAGAAGAGTCCCTGGCATAGGAGCTCCTGGCCAGGACGCCAGAAGCAGAGCGCCGGGGTTTATCTGAGCAGCGTCATCGCTTCCTGCATTTCTGAGAGTCCTGCCCCGGGAGGAGTCCGGACGCTGCCCCTGCCCCCACAAGCCCATATTCCTCCTCTCCCGCACTGCATTGCAGAGCTAGGACCGCACTGAGAACCCAGAGAGCCCTGCCGAGCCTTAATGCAGCAGCGGATCTGACAAATCCGCCGGGTGCACAGAGCACCTGACTCATCGTGATGTGTCAGTGACTGGGTGACTGGACGCGGTTCCGCACAGAGCTCCTAGTCCCATCCCTCCCCGAGGGCGATGACAGAGGTGTAGGCTCCTAGAAGTGGCCAGGCCTTGCAGCAACGCTGCTCGCAGGAGACGCACCTACGGCAGAAGCTCAGCCAGTAGCTTCGGGCTGGCTTTTCTGCTTCATGCAGGTGAATACAAAATGTCCTTGTTTCCTTCCCTCCGTCCCACCTCCAGTGTAGTAAAGCTGATTTTTCTTAGCAGAGAAAGAGCAAACGTTAATTTTTTTAAAAAGATACATTTTTAAAAAGCAAACTTAAATCCAATTCAAAGAAAGATGAATTGCTGTGACTGAATTATCCAATAAGATGCATTTATTCAACAGATATATTGACTACCTACTAAGCACTAGACACCGTTTTAGGCATTGTGGAACAAAACAGGCAAATATTCTTGCTTTCTGAAACTTACATTCTTTTTTTTTTTGAGACGGAGGAGTCTTGCTGTGTCGCCCAGGCTGGAGTGCAATGGTGCGATCTCGGCCCACTACAACCTCCACCTCCTGAGTTCAAGCAATGTCTCCTACCTCAGCCTCCCTAGCAGCTGCGATAACAGGTGTGCGCTACCACAACCGGCTAATTTTTGTATTTTTAGTAGAAATGGGGTTTCACCATGTTGGCCAAGCTGGTCTCAAACTCCTGGCCTCAAGTGATCCGCCCACCTCTGCCTCCCAAAGTGCAGAGATTACAGGCGTGAGCCAGGACACGTGGCCTGGAACTTACATTCTTAAAATGAAAATCATAAATCTTGGTAATCTTGATAATTAATGAAACACACATAAATGATGGTTTCCTTTCCCTGAATTAAGAGCTTCCTAATGTTTATTTAAGTCTTCATATTTTAATATTTAAAGGAGCAGCAATTTAATTAAGTGGGAATATTTGAAATAGTGTGGCATCACAGCAAATAGGAAGAATTAAGTTAATCTCACTCTTCCATAATATAATAGAACCCCTTAAAGTCACACATTAATGTGAAAAGCAAAGTTTAGTAAAATCTATGATTGAGGATCAAAATCCACAAACTGTCAAATGTCAGTTTTTTTTACTCTGTAGTTAACCTAAAAACTACTGATTTATTAATATTACCAGTAGCTACCATTTATGGAACACTATCTATGTGCCAAGCACTGTGCAAATATGCATTTTTAAAAATTAAATTATTGCCATGAACCTTTGAGGCTGGTCTTGTTCTGCCCATTTTACAGTGATAACTGAAACACAGAGAGGTGAAGTAACAGGTCCAAGATCACACAGCTCTAGAATGAAATTCAAACCTGGCATCTGGGATTAATGAATAAATTCTACTGCCTTGCCAAACCTTCTTGTGAATCTATCGTGGATTATAGACAGGAAAATTATAACCTAGTGGTTAAGGGCTTGGTGTCAAGCACACTCGATTTGCATCCTGGCTCTGCTGCTACAAAGCCAAATCATAACTGCTTTGTTGTTATCCTGGGGATTATAGGATAATTCGTGTGAAGCGCATGGGACAATTCTTGGGTCTTAGCTCCCAACTAATGTTAACCATGATAATGACGGTCAAAAAGATGTTGCAAATCAAAACCACAGTGAGATACCATCTCATACCAGTTAGAATGGTGATCATTAAAAAGTCAGGAAACAACAGATGCTGGAGAGGATATGGAGAAATAGGAACACTTTTACATTGTCGGTGGGGTTGTAAACTAGTTCAACCATTGTGCAAGACAGAGTGGTGATTCCTCGAGGATCTAGGACTAGAAATACCATTTGACCCAGTGATCCCATTACAGGGTATATATCCAAAGGATTATAAATCATGCTACTATAAAGACACATGCACACATATGTTTATTGTGGCACTATTCACAATAGCAAAGACTTGGAACCAACCCAAATGTCCATCAATGATAGGCTAGATTAAGAAAATGTGGCACGTATACACCGTGGAATACTATGCAGCCATAAAAAAGGATGAGTTCATGTCCTTTGTAGGGACATGAATGAAGCTGGAAACCATCATTCTGAGCAAACTATCGCAAGGACAGAAAAGCAAATACCGCATGTTCTCACTCATAGGTGGGAATTGAACAATGAGAACACCTGGACACAGAGCGGGGAACATCACACACTGGGGCCTGTCGTGGGGTGGAGGGCTGGGGGAGGGATAACATTAGGAGAAATACCTAATGTAGATGACGAGTTAATGGGTGCAGTACACCAACATGGCACATGTATACCTATGTAACAAACCTGCACGTTGTGCACATGTACCCTAGAACTTAAAGTATAATAAATAAATAAATAAATAAATAAATAAATAAATAATGATGTTGGTTGTAGGCCAGAATCTTGACTTACATATAAACTCTCTTCTTATTTTATCTCCCAAATTTTGAAGTTTGAGTTCCTGAATCTTTAGAGGATAATGATGGTCATCAAATTGCTGTTTTATTTCCTTCTTGACTTATCATCACTGTTATCAAGTAGGTAATAGAGTGGTATGCTAAAGAGCAAGGGCTTTGAAGCCAGAATAGGGTATAAATCTTGGTTCTGGAATGTGCTTGATGTGGAACTTGGACTCATCATTAAAGGTTTAAGCCCCTGTTTCTCAAGCTGTCTACAGTGAAGGATCAGGGTTTTTTTTTTTAACCTTTGCGCCTTGCTTTTTTCTCCTTCCTTCACTTCTTCTGTTCTTCCTTTCTTGCTATTTCCCATCTGTTAGGGACCAATACTTTTACAAAATGCAATAAAAATATCCTAGCAATGCCAAATTGCTCTACATATTCCTCAATACTAACTCTCAAGTTTTGTTCTAAATTCATTG